AATACAATAAAATCCTCCCAGAAAAATAATTTTTTAAAAATAGAACAATTTCGCACACGCGTGTTAACAGGAATTAAACAGGAATTAAACAGGAATTAAACAAAATTGGGTCAAACGGCAGATGCCGTGTCTGACCAATATAGGAATAGAAGGTTTAATATTCAAAACTACCCCAATGTAACAAATAACCAAACAAGGTGGTAAAAGTAGATAGCCATGTAAAAGAATATAGCACAGAAAGCACAGTCGTATGCAAAAAAAACTCAGCCAAGAGCACTCAACAATGACAAAGAAAGTATCATACAATGTCCACACACTTATCAAAATATACAAAACACGACATTCATTCAGTATTTTTCTTCGGGAACCTCCGTTCATCGACCTTATTTAAAAACCGTCCAATGTCTCTAATAGTTGTTGAGTCGTCGAAGATTTCTCCCGGTTCTTCTCTCATTACTAACAGGTCCCTCGTTCGTTGATGCAGGTTTTTGCGTAGGTCTTCGTATAGGGGGCATTCGTAGAGGATGTGATGCTCATCTTCTATCACTGGATAGGCCCCTGGTAGCTCATAGAGAAGATCTAACAAGTCATCGTCACTTGAGCAGCAATGTCTGCAGGCCCGATGTTTTATGTTAAACCGCTTTTTGCCGTAGCGACCAGTTTCAACGTTAAAGCGGTGGGAGCTGCTTCTGAATTGCGCGATCTTCTTTGAGCAGTTAGGTTTAAGATCAAGGGCTAGATACGTCTCTTGAGCAAACTTTCTCTTCACAAAGTTGTAGAATGATAGTTTTCTGTTAGATGTCCTTTCTGTTTCCCATGAGTTTATAAACCACTTTTGCAAACTCTTTCTAATCTGGCTTGGTCTTAATCCTTGGTTTCTCTCTGATGCCTCGATGGTTTCTTGCATCTGCTCGAGAGTGGAGAACCAGCTCAGGTTTAGGGTCGCCTGCTCTTCGAAAGCGTGTCTAGCAAAGCAGTCACGACCGTCTACCACCATTTGTTCAAGTCTTTCTTTGTAGTTAAACACTTGCTTTGATAGCGTGATGCCTAGTGGATGCCTGCCTGTGTCACCCCATATCGCAGCATTGGATGTTGACTTCCTCACCCCTAAGGTCCATTTCAAAAGAGACAGATGAAAGTTCTCTAGAGGGTCCCTGGCAATGAGTGTACACACGTTTCCTGTTTCTGGTGTGGTGCTCGTGTTTGTGGGGAAGTTGCGGAACAGAGCTGTGCTTGGCAGCCACACTTGGCAACCATACGACACCACAGGTACAATAAGTGTATCATATAGCTTGAACAGTATAGATTTCCTGATGTGGCGGGTATCAATGTAGCTTTTCAAAGAGAAATAACTTCTTAATGCTTTTTGCCTCAGCTTTTGTTGTGTTAGCTTAAGTGATCCGCTCAGAGTAAATGTAATGCCAAGGTAACAGTACTCTCTCCCGGAGGGGATCTGTTGTTCTCCCAGTTTGAACTCATGACTTTCCTTCAGATGCCTTCCTGTTGGGTTAAACACAAGGACTGAAGTTTTTCCAATGTTTACTGTCAGGCCCCATTCTGAGCAGTAATTGTTTAGGACATCAAGCATTTGTTGAAGACTGTGTTTGTTGAGGGCTAGAAGGACAAGGTCGTCTGCCCATAGCAGATGAGTTATATCTGTATCATTTAGGACAGGGACTTTCACTCCTTCGATGTTGTTGAGATCATGTGAAAGCTGGTGGACAAAGCATTTAAACAGTTCAGGGGACATGGGGTGTCCTTGCTCAGTACCACATATTATGTCGATCTTCTGTGACAGCTTGTCTAGTAGCTTCACTTTGGCTGAGGAGTTTGAGTACATGAACTTAATGCACTCAAAGAATCTCCCTTGAATACCCATTTTCCACAACTTGTATAGGAGTGCCTCACGACAGATGGAATCAAACGCTTTGGCATAATCGACAAAGCATGTGTATAGCCTTTGGCGTTTCTTGGTGACATACTTTTCCACGCAGGTTGAAAGTGTGAAAATGTGGTCTGCTGTCTGTGCGTCTTTACAGAAACCTAGTTGGTTGGCTGTATCAGGATCACATTGATCACGGAATGATATCAATCTTTTCAGCAATATGCTTGCAAAGAGCTTTCCGAGATTGCTCGCTACAGCGATGGCTCTGTAGTTGTTTGGATCATAGATATCACCTTTTTTGTGTAGTGGTGTAACTACTGATGAAGTCCATGGGTAAATTGATAGGCTTAGGCAGTGGTTGAAGAGGTTGAGGACTGCTTTGAGCATGGATCGTGTTGAGGCTTTGAAGAATTCATTAGAAATTAGATCTTCGGAAACTGCCTTTCCTTTTTTAGTGGCCTTAATGCAAGCACACAGCTCTTCCATCTTTATATCTTGATCCAAAAGCTTGGTCAGGTCGTCACAAATGTTGTTTTTCTGCATCTTTGACTGTAGCTCTGCGATCTTAGAGTCTTTGATGTTCTTTTTGCCGTAAAGTTCACCGAAGAACTTGCAAAAGTTGATCATATCGAAGGCATCAAGACTGGTTGCAGGCGATTTTGTATTTTTAAGAGCTTTGAAGGATTTCCAGCAGATGTTGTTCCCTGTTTCTATGTCCTTGCAAAGCTTCTCAAAGAATTCTGATCGCTTATGTCTGATCATCTTTCTATATTGTCGCCGAGTGTCGTAATAAGAGTCCCTGAGGAGCTTGTCCAATGGGGATCTTCCATACTTTTTTGCTAGAATGTTGAGTGTCCTCTTAAGACGGATACATTCACTGTCAAACCATGCCATTTTTGGCTTCATTCGACTCTTCTTTTTGGTGCTACCATATTTATTATTTCTCGGCCCTTTCTGACGACTTGAGGCGTTTTTTCGGGGCATCACTTGTTCAGCAACCTGATGATACAGCTCAACAATTTGGTTGTTAAGGTTAAAAACGTCTTGAGGGGTTTTGCATGAACTTGTAGCCAGAGTTTCCGTCTTTTCCTTTATACTAGGGTCACCCATAGCTAGCAAGAATTTGAGCTCAGCATTATCCTCACATGGCCATTTGTACTTAGCTTCCTGGGCGCGTCCTCGAGGTCACGCAGTATTTCTTCTGAAAGGGTTATGTTGTGTCTCAGGCTAAGTGTTGTGACAGAGGGTTTGTGATCGGAGAATTTGTTCAAATCAAGGACTCTAAAACTCTTAACGATCGCTTTTATGTCAGCTCCTACAGCAACATAGTCTACAACGCTAGCTCCGCCATAATTCACCGATGTGAATTCCCCTAAGGAATCGCCAAGTACGCTGCCGTTTAGGATGGTTAGATTTGCACAGGCCAGAAAGTCAAGGAGTAACTTTCCTCTAGGATTAACCATCTGGTCCTTGCTAGAACGATCATTGAGACAGGGGTGGCTGCGTTGGCTAAATGGGTTTGCAGCAGATAATGCTTCAGTATCTTCCTCGATGGTGTTGTTCAAGGTTGCGGTCCTTGCATTGAAATCACCTGCTAGTATCACCTTCCTACCGTTTTGAATACTATTCATGGTGAAGTCAAGTAAGTTGTCTAGAGTTGAAGCATCGTCATCGGATGTACTTTTGCTTGATTTCAATCTCTTCTTGTAGGAAGAGTGCTCAGGGGAGTCGTATAAGTTGATGATAACTAGTTCATCGACAGCACTCTCACTTCCTAGTTTTATCCTTACTGATTGGATGTCACTACAATTGGATGTTATTTCTTTGATATCCTTGGCAATAGACCTGTGGACACCAATGCAAAGTCCTCCTGAGCGACTGTTTGGTCTGTTAGCACTTAATGATTAAGTGATTAACATCCCATTGACTGTTAATCGATTCGGTTGATGTGTAATACCGTTATAGTACGTCTTCTCCTTTTGATGGTGTAAGCTGTGTAGTAAGCTGAATTTTGGTTTTTTATATTCAGGCCGGACTTGTACTTGTAAATATATTGTGTACCAAATAGAAACTTGCCCTGTTTTGACACTGCCAGTTAAATGTTGTTTTTTTGCGAATTTGAAGTTCTGCTCTCACGTTTTCTCCGTCTCAAACTCTCCTGGTAACTTTAGTCATAAATGCTTACAGTTGACGAACTCACACTCATGGCGAGTGCCTGCATTATAATTGTTTACATGAAGCAATAAGATGACAAATTTTTTGATAACGGCCGATTTTTCGTGGGTTCTCTATTCTTCTATTGTGTTCTATAATCAGTAATTTTGCCCTGTTCTGCATCTTAAACCAAAGGCAAAAGCATGATTTTCTCGTAAATTTGCAACTTGAGTTCAAAATCTTTTACTTTTATTTGCTATGATTGTTGGAAACTGTAAAGCGCCCGCTTGTGGATATAATACATATCATACTCGCCTCACAGGCGGAATTTTGTATAGCACTCGGGCCCAAAGGGCCCTCCGGGCTAAACGTACACACTAGTACTATACACTATACGATATTTCGTCCTCGTGCTGGCGCCCTCGAGGACATATATTATATCGTCGCGCAGGCGATATAAATTTCTGCCTGCTAGGCTGCGTTGATATCTATATATATCCAAAGTTTGTTCGCCAATGGGGTGTGTCTGGGTGTCAAAGATCTTCAAGATGGGTGCTACTTGTGATGAACTCTAGAAAGGATTGTTATACTCGGTCTGGCCGTCTGGAAGCCCATAGAATTCCAGTTCAGAAACCGAGTAAGAAGGCGCGGCTACTGATGAGAAGCCTTCTTAAAGTTTATTTGGGTTAGAAACGACATCTGGGTCCCTACCCTTGCACAAGATTATTCTCCATTTTCTTGTTGTGTTCCACAACTATACTTCCAACATCATATCACACTTCCCCCACACACTTTTTAAAAACCATATCTCATGAAATTTGACGTATTGAAACAACAATTTTAGCTCTATATCCACAGTTATTCACCATGGATTTGTTTGTTATTCAATATTTTTTCATAAATTTTTGGACTTAGATTAATTCTTTTATATAGCCTATGTTCGGTTGCTGGTAATGATAACATGAGTAAATTGGAGAATCCTACTAGTCCCGATGTCAAAGACACAAGAACTACATATATTCAAGAGCGTGGCCTTGTTCCGGATTACGGAGACTATGCGGTTAGTTTGACACCGTTTTATATTGATATGAGTTTATTGTCCGTTCTTGTATATATATATAAGTCAAACCTGCCCAAGCTAGAGAGCCATGGCAGGGCCAGCAAGCAAGAGCCGAAAACAAACTGAGCCAACTGGGTATAGAAAATATCAATATGACAAAATTATTAACAATAATAAAAGAATATAGATAGTATTAAGGAGGGACAAACCGGGGCCCCTCCACGGGCCGAAGAGTAAGGTGATTCTGAGTGTTGGGTGTTCTCCTCTTCTTCTTTATTGAAGGTGGACGTGGATATCCAGTCTTGGTTGCTACAGAGGGAGTTTTGATCTTGTGAACGTATTGTCCTGTGTATTGAAAGGGTTAATGGTGTCCATCAATTATACAATTGGATGCAAATCATTAGTATAATAATAGCGACAATGGAGGGTCGCGCAGGATCGATGTGGGCGGTAAATTGGATCATCTCCCTCTATCAAAAACAGTAAAAGCTGAAACGAGAGCAAAGGGGTGCCGCCAGCTGGTAGCTAAAGTAACTGACCGTTAGAGTCTGCGTGATTCTATGGTACTAGTTGCTAAGCACCTTGCTGGCGGCCCAACAGAAGGTGGTAAGTCTGTGAGGGAGATGATCTGACCGTTGTTCAAAAAGCTAAGGGGGATCATAGAAGTCTAGGTACTTCGAAATAAGTGCAAACTTAAGTATATGTTTAGGAAATGCAAGGGTGTGGAATATATCTTTTTTGATGATAAAGTTACCGAACACTTGTTTCCTTGTTAGTGCGTAGCCCGTAGGCTGGGCATCTGGTTAGGAAGTGTTCTGTATTTTCTACTTCCTCTTCACATTTGTGAAGAGGAAGGTAAGTCTAAAAGATTCGTCTTATCAAGTTGATTACATTTCTGTAAAAATTATTTCAAAAAAACTGATACTTTTTGAGTTATAGGCATTTTAAGCCTTAGATCTGCCATTTTTGGCCCTTTTTCACGATGAATTTTACTAAGTCGTTTGAGACCACATTTCATACCTTAAAACTCAAAATTGAGAAAAATCCTGTTCCAAAAGTTGGATATGATCATCAGCTACACTCGCAAGAATTTTTGAAGTGATATCTTATGACCTGGGTGATTGGTAAAATATACAACTTTGATTTTTTACAAAAATTTCAATTTTGCTTCTCTCGACCTTGTTTGGTCTGTAACTTCGTCATCTATTGTTTGATTATAAAATCCTTTGAAGGGCTTCTTGTACGGATTGTAAGTAATGTTCAGTTATAAAAATCAGCCAAAAAACGTATAAAATGACTGAAATATCGGTATTACAGTGACAGACTTCTCAAAATTTCCAAAACTTTCGAAAAAGAAAATATTTATTTTTTCGAAAGTAAGTGCTCTCAAAAATAATTTTTAATGTTTCAAATCTTATTTTTTTATGTATACGTTCTTAATGAAGTTAATTACAGCATGAAAGCTTTTGTATTATATGTCCCCTTAAGCTCTGGGTCTTCAATTTCGCACAATCATGATGTGTAATTTGGATTTTGGACAATTAATTAATTGAAAAGTGAAAAAAATTGTGGCAAACTGTACTAACTTGTTCATATTCGACTGATTGATTTCTAATGTACGCATCCTTAAATTTTCAATTTAAGAGTCTGATATTAATGTTACATATGCAACCGGCTAATATTACCTTAGCTTATGTATACATAATACATATTGCATATGTTCAGTATCTTTCCTTTACAGGTGCACTCTTCTAAGGGAACGGAGTTCTGTTAAGAAAGTTCGATTCAGTACATTAGATATGAGTCTGCTATTTTATTTTTGAAATTAAAAAAAGTCATAAACTTTTCAAACAAAACATAATTATACAGAATTGAATGATTTTAAATAAACCCAGATATACAACGAGAAAACCAATCTAGCGCAAGTATCCAATAGTTCAGTATTTCGAAACCCAAATTATGTCCTATTGAAAGAGAGGTCAGCAAAACACAGTTTGCAGAAATGAATACCACATCCGAAATAACATTGAGCCCTAGCAAATAAAATAAAATTAATCAATCAATCAAATATATAATATTGTATTTATAGAAAATATAAAACTCTCAAAGCTCCTTGTCCGAGCTAACGACCCTAAAGTTCCTGATTACGTGAACTTTTTCGGGTTCTGCTGCCCTCTTATAGAGTAGTTGGTCGACTACTTTCTTGTCGGCCATTCTGTCTGCAGCTGATCTATAAGGGAAAATGTGAACAGAGCTAAACCCCTCTACATGTCCGAGTAGTCCTGCTCAAGATGGTACGAGCTTGATCTAAGCTTAACAAAGTGAATTTCACGGGCTTGACTCGCGACTTTTGTCCTTTCCAACTCGTTTACAGCTCAAGATTTTCAGTTTTTCGTTGACATGGTCCAACAAAATACACGATACCTTAGCATGTAAATTCTTCTCAGATTCTGGCAGTGGCGTAACTTAGGGCCCCGCAGACCCCGCTGTGCGGGGGGGGGGGGGGGGGGGGGGCGCCGTATAAGGGGGGCGCAATTTTCCTGAATTTTAGGCCCTTTCACTGAAAAAACGTCTTGTTTGTGTATTTCCCTGTCCAATTGAGCGTTCGGTCGACGCGAAAAAAATATTTGGGGTACCCTCTTTTGCTTCAGGGGGGCGCAAAAAGCCTTAGGGGGGGCGAGAAAAAAAGTACCCGACTTTTTTTTTTTTTTTTTTTTTTAAGGGACACAAAAAATTTTAGGGGGGGGCGTTTTTTTTGGGGTCACTGAGGGGGGGGGTGCCAACACAAAGTTCGCCAGGGGGTTCGGAGCCCAAAAATTATAATTTTTTTCTCCGTCTTCAAAAAAACAACCTTTCCACTGCGTTGGGTTTTCTTGCAAAGCCGTTTTTTTCGAAGGGAAAGGCCTTTTCTTTCGGGGGGCTTTTCCCGTTCCAATTAACCCTTTCATAGCTATTTCCCCCAAATACTATTTTTTTTTAAAAAAAATTATAAAAATTTACAAGGCTTGGCAAGGACCCGGTTTAAAATTGGGTTTAAACAATTACCCCCACATCGGAACGCCCAACTTCACCTGAGACAGAAATTGTCCGCTTACAAATTAAAGTGGGTACAAATTGGAGTGCTTTTAATAATTCTTGGTGATTTTATTTATAAATTTTGCTTCACCAGATACCCGTTGTTCCAAGAGTTTTATAGGGGGTGGAAAAAGGGAAAAATTCCCTTAAAACCATTTTTTTTACATTTAAAATATATTGTTAAACCCAAAATATGATTTTTTTCGTTAAAATTAAAATTTTTTCGCAAAAAATTTTTTAAAACTGTACCCTATTTTTTTTAACGCCCATATCGTTCAAAAAAAACTATTCTTAGCTTTGCAAACCCAAAACCCCCCAAACCCAAATACAACAATGAACAGGCAAAGAAAGACACCAGAAACCCCATAAGATGCCAAAGTTGGGCCCTCAACTTGGGAAAAATGGGGGTTCGGAAGGGGAAAAATTGTTCACGAAAAAAGTGCGCCTCTGAGCGTTAAAAAATTCCGGGGGGTTTCATTTACACACTTTTTTAATTTTGTTGTCCTTTTTAATTTTTTTTAAAAAACGAAACCCCTTTCCTGGATCGCTGTCGTTTCCAAAAACTAATCCGCTGTTTTGGGGTTTTTGGTTTTTAAATTAAATTTTATTTTTTTAAATAATTATTTTTGGGGGGGTTTAATTAAGTTTTGGTTGGAAAAAAAAAACCCCCCCCCCCCCCCCCCCCCCCCTTTCCCCTTCCCCTCCCTCCCCCACCCCCCTACCCCCTCCCTCCCCTCCCCACCCCCCCCCCCCACCCCCACCCCACCCTCCCCCCCCGGTTTCTCCCTCCCCTCCCCCCTTCCCCCTTTTTCCTCCTCCCTCCTCCCCCTTCTCCCCTCCTTTCCCTCTCCCCCCCCTTTCCCCTCCTTCCCCCCCCCTCCCCTCTTCCCTCCCCTCCCCTCTCCCTTTCACCCTCCCTCTCCCTTTCCCCCCCCTTTTCCCCCCTCCCCTTTTCCCCCTTCCTCTCCCCTCCCTCTCCCTCTCCCCTCCCCCCCTCTCCCTCTCCCTCTCCTCCCTCCCCTCTCCCCTCTCCCCTCCCCCCCCCCCCCCTCTCCCTCTTTTTGGGGGGCCCTGTTCTTCCCTTCTCCCAATTTTTTTCTTTTAAAAATCTCCTGTTGGTTTAGGGGCCTCCAAAAATTAAAAAAGTCTTTTTCTTTTTTTCCCTTTATAAATCCAAAAAAAGGGTTTTTTTTTTAAAAAAAATTTAAAAACTAAAATCCTCCCCTCTTTTATTTCAATTCCCTTTTTGGGTTTTTTTTGTTTGTTTCTTTCCAGGGGCTTTTTTAAACCCCAAAATTGAAAATTCCCTTCCCCCTTCGACCAAAAGCAAACCGGGCTTCCCCTCTTTTAAAAACTCGCCGGCCCGGGCCCCAAACTTTCCTTTATTTCTTATTTTTGGCCTTTTTCCTTTTAATCCTTTTTTTTTTTTTTAAAAAAACCTTTCTTTTGGTCTACTTTCCGCTTCGGGGGGGAACCCTCACCCCAATTTTTTTTTCCTCCTTAACCACCTCCCTTTTTTCATTTCCCCCTTTCCTTCCGCCTCCAAATTTTCTTGCTTTTTTTAAATTTCTCGTTCAAAAATATTTAGTCCCTTTGTTGGCCCTTTTGGTTCCCTCCTGGGTCCCTTTTGTTTTAGGTAAAATTTGGCCACCGTCTCACATGTCACTATATATAGTGTGCAAAACGCACTTTATAGTGACAGGACTATATAATGACATGTCACTATAAAGTGCTTGTCACTATATAGTGTTGTCACTATATAGTGCGGGAATCTTTAGCCTCACAGAAGATATTGTGGTCTTTTTTAAATATAACTGTAATACATAATTGATGTAAAGTTTATTTGAATTTTGAAATAAAATTGGGCCACTTCATATATCCAAACCCGATTACTTCGGCAATTTTAGGGTACAGATAAAGAATATCATCTGAGAGTAGCAAGAGTAAACGAACTAAGACTAGAACTGGAGAACCTTACTACAGAACAGAAGACTGAACGAACAGAGCTTTCTGAGTTAGTCGATCGACATCACACCAACCTCAACCTCAGCACTGATAAAAGGTAAATCATCTCACCAACCTCAACCTCAGCACTGATAAAAGGTAAGACATCACACCAACCTCAACCTCAGCACTGATAAAAGGTAAATCATCTCACCAACCTCAACCTCAGCACTGATAAAAGGTAAATCATCTCACCAACCTCAACCTCAGCACTGATAAAAGGTAAATCATCTCACCAACCTTAACCTCAGCACTGAAACAAGAATTGCGCCCGTTATGCCATAGGGGGACGCTAGATTTCCATCCACTGCTTTTTCAAGTCCAAGATTAATATAGTATAGTACTATGTTTTACAGTATAAACTGAGATCTAAAGCCCTTAAACGAAATCTAAATCATTCCACATCCACTTCATCGACCAGGCGATCCCAGTAGTGGAGATCGCGCATTCCTGATATTCTGGCGGTGAATGCTTTCTGTACACTCTCCAGTTCTTGGATATCGCTGATTTTTGAGGGATGCCATAATGGACAGCAATATTCAATCAGACTTCGAACCATTGATTTGTATAGCGTCAGCATGATGGAGTGAGATCGTGTGTGAAATACACTGACAACCCATGATGCTTTTTGGCGAGCTTTATCTGCAATGGCTCGTATGTGAGGGGACCAAGAGAGATCACTTGACACTATGACGCCTAAATCCCTGAGCTGATGTATTGGCTCAAGTGTAGTGTCTTTGGAAACTGAGTATTGATAATGTTCAACCACAAATGGAAGCTCAGATAGTACATATTGGTGGTTGAATTTGTGACACATGTACTCAAATTTGTCTTTGTGAAGGGCCATATTATTTCTTTCAGACCAATCAATGACATTTTGCAGATCTTTTTGACGGAGCTTGACGTCATGCTCTGATTTGATAGCAATGGATATTCGAGTGTCATCAGCAAAAAAAAACATCGAATTATAGAGTGCATGATACAATGTTCAATATCATTGATAAAAATCAAGAAAAGGATCGGCTCCAAAACCGTACCTTGTGGAACTCCGCTGATTATCAGTGCAAGGATGGACAGATTCCATAGAGTTGGAGCTTTCTCAGTAGAAATTTGTGATCTACTTTATCGAAAGCCTTGGCATAGTCGAGGTATATTGAATCAAAATCTGAATTGTTGCTCAGAGAATCCAAAACGTCATCAAAATGGTGGAGAAGTTGAGTAAGGCAACTCCGGCCAGATCTAAAACCGTGCTGCTTACTATATATGAGGTTATTGATCTCCAAATAGTTTACCAGCTTTTTTCTTATCACCCTCTCTTTAACCACATGAGAGGTGAGTGATATAGGTCGGTAGTTAGCTGGTTTGGCTCGACTATCCCTCTTGTGGAGAGGAAATACGTGTGAGAACTTATAGACCTCCCCAGTAACTAAAGAGCGGGACCAGATGATGTGCATTGGTTCTGCTAGGGCTTTCTTGCAGTTCTTGAGAAGGGTGACTGGAATTTCGTCAGGACCTGATGCAGCATTAGGTTTGATGTCTTCAATGGCCTTAATGATTTCGTCCACGGAGAAATTCAGCATATCGTCAGTAAAAGGATGCTTGATTGGAGGGGGACTGAAAGAAGCAGAGTCGATCCGAGTTTTCGAAGGATCACTGAATACTGACAAGAACTGATTCTGCAAGAGGTTGGCAATGTCTTTTGGATTTGATTTGATGGCACCGTTTCCATCAAAAAGCATGCTGATGTTGCTTTTCTTCTTCGAAAAGTTCTTAGCGTAACTATAGAAATACTTGGGATTTTCTTTTACCTTGCTTTCGGCTTGCTGTTCACGGTACAGGAGATCCTGGTGGATTGCATCACGAATATCCATATGAGCAAGAGCAAGTTTCCGGTTCAAAGATTCAATCTGTGTGGGAGGGCTATGTGGAATACTTTTTGCAACCTCTAGCTGGGTTTGAAGCTTTCGTTTTCTGCGAGAGGGGATGCGCACAGATGAGCGAGTTTGGGTTTTGGGAGGGATCTTCTTCGGACAGCCAATCTGTAGAGTAATAAGAGTGAATAGCTCTGGAAAATCCTCTTTGTCGCATAGGTTGATGAGTTGAGCCCAGTCAACAGATGAGAGCATGTCATTGATCGATGAAAAATCTGCTTTATTAAAGTCTAAGCTTCTAAACGAAGAACCCATAGCAACCCATAGTAACAACATATCTTGTTATTACGGCTACAGACCTTCCCTTACCGGATGTAGTGATGGAGGTGAGTCTGTATAGAGAGGTATACAGTATATACATATAGCTCTATTCTTCTTTAGGTCAGTGACCAGCTGCTCGCTCTTCACTGGATCTATCAGGACATCTTTTTAGGTTTTAACCAGCCTTAGTCTCCCTGTTTTCATCAGAACCTGATAAACAGCTGTTTAGCTGAGGACTTAGTCTCCCTGTTTTCATCAGAACCTGATAAACAGCTGTTTAGCTGAGGACTTAGTCTCCCTGTTTTCATCAGAACCTGATAAACAGCTGTTTAGCTGAGGACTTAGTCTCCCTGTTTTCATCAGAACCTGATAAACAGCTGTTTAGCTGAGGACGGTGACTGGTCGGATAGCTGTACCTGGTCCAGCAGGTTCCTCTGTAGCCACACTCTTTATCACATTCTTCAACGTTTTGCTGTTGCAGACTGTACCACTTGCACTGTTCTTTTGCTGCACTGTAGCTCTGTGTCTCAGATGTATAAACTAATCGCACTGATTATAACACCAGAAGCGTGGAGTTATACGCGAATCTAACTGCATGTATAATACGATTACACCAGTTATTGCACTCGGCTGCGCCTCGTGAAATAATCGAACTCAGCTTCGCCTCGTGCGATTATCGTATAACTTTGCACTCGGCTGCGCGTCGTGCAATTAATAGTGTAATCGCATTATACGCAGTTAGATTAGCGTATATAATTATACGTTAACCCAATATTTCAGTAGAATTGTTTGTTTGTTTGTTTGTTTGTTTGTTTGTTTTCAAGAGCAACTTGCCACTTATGTCCAGCTCATTATATAAAATTATATTATTAAGAAACTGTTTACACCATTAAAATATTCAAAACCCCTAAAAGAAATCAAGTCATCCTAAAATGGTGATCAGTACAGATCAAGACAGCTAGAGTTAAAATTTGTTTCTCCAAGCAACTCTATCATCGGCTAATATCTTAAGCTTATTAAGATCATTCAAAGAGTTAAGTTTTAAACCTCTACGGATCAAATCATTCACAATAATCTTGAACAAATTCTTACGATGCGCACCGACGCGCCCTTTACAGTTTGTTGTGACAGCAAACTTTAACGCTAATGCAGCGGGGGAGTCATCAGCACTACGCAAGATATGACCTAGGAGCTTCCACCTTGCTTTAGGGACACGATCTGATAGCTTAACTGAGTTACATCTTAGGTATAAGTTTGCATTGGATATTGTTCCATGAGGCCAATAAATGTTCAGTAATGATCTAAGGTATTTTCTATGGCAAATGTCTAGTTTTTCTAGTGACTTTGCAGTAGGACACCAACTACTGCAATTGTACATGATGATTGATACAATTTGGGCTTCGTATACTGCTATCTTTCTGGTAACGGAGATATTCTGCTGAGACCAGATCTTGGTGAACTTATAGAAGGCATTGTTCCCAGCAATGCATCGAGCAGCTATATCACTTTCACTACACAACAATGACCCAAGAATCTTACTCTTCCGCCAATCTTCATTTCCACGTAACATGGTATCATCACGACCAGGGATTGTTTCTCCAACAGGAGCGAGGAAAACATGGGTAAATTCTGTTTTCTCTGTGTTAATGAACAGGTTAAACTCCTTGAAGACTTCCTTAGCTATTGGTAGGATAGCTTCTAAGGATTCTTTTTCCACGTTCATGAAGTTACAATCATCTGAATACGCTGACTCCAGTGGCATACCTTCTTTTGAAATAGGGGGATTGGGTGTGTGTGGGGGAGACTCTGCTAGTCGATGGCGTAGTTCTATAAGAGCTCCTGCTAGGACAAGAGTGAAAAGCTTGCCGGAGAGACTGTCACCTTGAAAGGACCCAAGAAGACTCTCGAATACAGCAGATAGTTCTCCTTCCACTCTGACCTTGAGCATGGTGTTGGTTAAGAGGAGTCTTACTAGCCTGAGGTCGTCGTCTGTGCATCCAGCTTTGACAAGAAGGTCAAGTATAGTCTGGCGTTTGATTGTGTCAAATGCTCGAGACATATCTATGCCCATCTTGTGATACTGGAAGTGTTTACGCGTGACAACCGATATCAACATCCGCTCAGCCCACACTAGATCACCACAACTTCTACCATGTTTGTACCCCGCCTGCGTGCTACCAGTGAAAGCATCAACTTTGTCTTCAATTCTCTTCAGTACAATCATGGATAATATCTTACGAGCACCATTTGATAGACATAGAGGTCGTAGACTAGTGACAGGACCAGCTGGTTTGCGAGGTTTCGGTAAGGGGGTGATGATGGCTTCACCTATAACATCAGGAAATGAATTGGTCTCCAATGCGCTATTGATGATCTCGGCATATTTTGACCAGAATTTTGTACCAGCATTTTTCAACCACTCGTTGTAGACTTTATCTGGACCAGTGGCTTTGTTGTTCTTGAGAGATTGGGCGGCTTTCTTTACTTCATCACATGTGATGGGTATGTCTAGGCAGCGTCCATCCCCTATAAATGCTTGAAGTGGTTCATCCTCACACGTGAACTGCTTTTCGTAGTAGTCTCTGATCACTTGAGCTTTACCAGCATCTGTGGCAACAAAGTTACCTTCTTCATTGTGGACACTGATAGTAGATTTGGGCTTAGTGTCAGCTAGAGTACGCACAGCTTCAAACATCTGCCTTGTGTCATCTGTTGACATGATGGTTCGAGCGATGTCATCGGCACGTGTGTCAGCAAGGTTCTTGAGATGCTTACGGATGTCTTTCTCTAACCTGTTGATCCTTGTACGGACTTGAGTTCTGTCAGCAACTTGGTTGTTACAGTTAAGTGCAGCTTGCAGGGTTTG